CTCCCCTTCATCTCAGTCCTGTACTTGTCGCCGGTGACCTCTTCTCCGATGGTGGGTAACGGACGAACGACGACCGCGACGGGAAAGAATGACGACCACGATGGTGAAGGTGGCGGGCCGGAGGCGTCTTCACCCTCTACACTTGCAGAAGCGGAGCTCTGCGGCGAAGGAAGTGACAGAGACGTCACGGTCAGTTCCTCGGCGGAGGGAGGACGACGACGACTAGAGCTCCGGCGCCGGACCAAACGGCGGCGTTTGGAGTGACAGTTGGCGGCGTCGAGCAGAACGGCGATGGAGATATAGAAGTCGACGGCGGATGATAGAGGTCGACCTGTGGAATGGTGGTGCCGCGGCCGTCTTGTTCGTGCGCGTCTAATAGCGGGCTTCGACGGCGGCATTTAAGCGTGCTCCGGCGGCTTCGTTTCAGTGTGCTTCGGCGGCGGCGTTACAGTGGGATCCGGCGACCGGCATTACAGTGGGCTCCGGCGGCGATGGTTGGGCAGGGGGCGGCCGACGATGACTGGTAATGTGTGTGTGTGTGTGTGTGTGTGTGTGTATGTGTTGTGTACATATAGTGTGTGTGTCGTGAATATAAATTGTGTGTATATATTGTGTGTGTATGTGTCTGCTGAAGTGTGTGTGCGTGTGCTCTGTGTGTGTGTGTTTGTGTGTTGTGTGGCGTGTGTTTTATGTGTACGTGGTGTGTGTTTTGTGTGTGTGGTTATGATATGTCATGGGCCCACTAATGAGTTGGATAAGTAGATGGTATTGGTAATGTCAAAAATACCTTTAATGAAGCTATAATTTTGGCTTTTTTTAGCCATTAGATCATCCGATATAATGACTACAATTTATTCTCATTTCTTTCATTGAGAACCATTCTCATGTGAACCCAATCATATATATATATATATATATAGGGATGCGCTCCGGTGAGAATGGTTCTCAATGAAAGAAATAAGAATAAATCTTAGCCTTCGGATTGAGTGATCTAACGGATTAAAAAAACACAGCATTTATACATTCATTAAGGGTGTTTTTGACATTTAATACATCAATAATAAACCATTTCAGTGGACCCCACCCCAATTAACGCACAACCTGACACACCTCTCTCTCTCCATCCTCTCACCCAGCCCCGTAAAATTTGGTCAAACTCACCCACCCACTCTCTCTCTCTTTCTCTCTCTCTCTCTCTCTCTCTAACACACACAGAGATACATACACACGCACACGGCACACATATACACATACAGAGCTCAACCAAGAAGAAGAACCCCGTCGTCCCTCTTCCAACAGTCCGGCGGCCGCAGCCGCCGCGCCGCCGTGCCTCCACAAAAGCCCATCAACCTGCCGATCGTCACTTCTACCAGCGATTCCGCCGCCGCGCCTCCACACACGCTCCTCTGTTCCGCAGCCGTCCACTTACAACAGCTCTTCCGACGCCTCCGGCAGCACTACGCAGCCGCACCTGCCCGCCGCCGTCCACTTCCCTCAGTCTGACAGCCCCGCCTGAACCGACCATAGAAATTCGAGGACAATCTCGTATTTTACCGTCGGTTACTCTCTCCCGGCGTTCATCTCCGTTCGCACCGCATCGGGTCGGCCGCGTCCGCCACCTTGCTCTCGGATGGGTCATTCGCGACGGCAAGGACGACGGCCGAATTGGCCGTGGACACCTGAAATGTGATTTGAGTTTGAGGGCCTTGTTTTGAGAATTTGATCTTTCACTGGGATCTAATTGCAAATTTGAGAATTTTTAATATATCTCAATTTCACCCATAGGCAAAATCTGTAATTTATGAAACATATATAAAATAATGTTATTCTTTATATATTTTTTGATATGTACATAAGTTATGTTATTTTTAACAAAAATAATTATAAAGAAAATATATAAAAATATTAAATTACTAAAATATATTTTTATAATAATAAATAATAAAATATTTCATCAATCACTACAACGTTAGACGAAATGCACATTAATCCGTTAGGAATTAATTTATTTGAAAATTGTTATTATTTATTTTCAAAATCTGATATTATAAAATATTAAATGAAAAAATCAAATTACTAAATTTTTTTTAATTACACGAGTTATATAATAAGTGTAAATTAATGTTAATTAAAATACACATTATTAAATTGCCAAAAATTGAAATGCACATAAAAAAAAATTATTCGATCAATAGAATGCACACAAATGGTATACAATATGCACATTTATGAGTGGGTGCTTGCACTTTATTGATTTTGGTATTTTATATATTATATATTTTCAACCAAAAAATAATATAAAAAATAAATAATATTATTAACATATTAAATATAGTTTTAGTATAAAGAACAAATTATTTCGGTTTGTTAGGATAATTCAGTCAACCGGGCCGATTAAAAAATTATTTATGTTCAATTTCAATTTGGTTTAGAACAAAAGTTCGTTCAGATCAATCTGCATATCGACCGACACCATGCACCGTAGTGTGAACGAATTGCACATTAGTACCTGATAGATTGCACATTATATTTTGTTTACATATATATTATTTTTTAGTCACAATTATAATATTAAATAAAGAATATTAGAGAATAAACATGTTTTTAGAATAAATAATATAATTTATTTAAGTTATTTATGTTAACCAACAAATTAAACCGATTATGTCAAAATTTTCAGTTCAAAAATTTGTCTTTCGTTTTGATTATTTATTTTTACTTTTAAATCATATATCTATAGACAAAATATTGTGAAAATCACTTATCCAAAAAAAGACGTTTTTATCAAATTTTTAACAATTTCATATACATATGACAAAATTTTTTAAAGTGCACATTCAGTCACAATATTGTGCACCTCGTGTGTCATTATTGTGCATAAATAAATTTCTATTAAATTATATATTGGTCTTAAGTAAACTATACACATATTAAAAGTTCAAAAATTGCAAAATAGTCCCCTAATTATATCTAATTTTCCAAAAATATGTTCAGCTCCAAAACAATTAAACCCCCGTTCCCTTAGCTCAATCTCAGCCCCGATTCCCCCAATCTCACCCTGTCTCAGCCTCGATTCGCCCAATATAAGCCACAATTTCGCCAATCTCAGCCCCAATTTCACCGTTACTCAATCGCAGCCCCAATTTCGCAAATCTCAACCCCAATTTCGCCCAATCTCAGCCTCAATTTTGCCGCTACCAAACTCAGCCGTCGGCGTCGACTTCATCTGTCCCCGACCGCCGCCTGAGCTTCCACCTCGTAGGGCTCCTCGCCGGAGTCTCCTGTGGAGAAGGTGACGGGAGCGGCGACAGTGGACGTCGGCTTTCCAGGCGCGGGAGAGCGCCGCCCATTCAGATTCGGAGTGGCAGCCGAATGACGACGCCGGAGACGGCAACCACGATGAAGGCCCGGACGGTGTCACGGCGGAGGCACGCTCGGATTCACGGCGGAGGCACTACCGAGTAATCTCTTGAATCGCGGCACTCTCCAGCGGAGGTCGACTGATGGTGCGGCGGAACCGGCGGAGGCATCGGCAGTCTCCGGCGGGCTGGTGTGTGTGTGTGTGAAGTGTGTGAGAGATGAGCAGATTAGTGTGTGCAGTGTGTGAGAGACGGGTATATTATTTTAGTGTGTGAAATGTGTGAGAGATGGGTAGGGGGTGGGTTAGGTGGCGTGAATATGGTTAGTGGTAGGTGGGTCCCATGTGTATTATGTCTAATGACTTATATACCCTTATTTAATGGTCAAATCCCATAATATTATTATTTATTTAATATATTGCCATTGATAATTGACCATTATTTATTAAAATTTGACTTAATCATAATCATTGATGAGATTGATCGAATGGTCCAGAATCATTCTTATTTCTTTCATTGTGTTTCATTCTCATTTAAGCACACTTCTATATATATATATATATATAATATTAATCAGTATGGTAAAATTTAGAGATTATGTAAAATTTAATGCATTCACAATTATTGCACTAGTTTTAATATGATGATTATTATCTTATTATATAAATAAGATAAATTTTATGAGTAAAATTTAAAATTATTATTATTTTTCTAAACAAATATATGAAAGAGAAAAAGATACGGGACTCTAAGCGCCTTTAAGATTGCATAGACGATTATAGGTAGCCAAGCTAGCTAGCCTAAACATGTGTAAGAGCATCTCCAATGGAATATTGTCCATTTTATGTTAAATGACATGGAGAAAGGAAAAAAATTATGTCTCAAATGGTTAGTGTGAATTGTGGTGTCATTTGTGATGTGTAAAAATATAATTGGGTGAAAAAGAGAGAAAAATGAATAAATAATATATAATAAATAGTAAAAGTATTCTAGAATGACTTTTACATCTAGAGGCCTTTTAGACATTTTTCATGCCATATAAGATTGTTTGTGTCATGTGGCAATAAAATAACACAGTAGAATGACCATTAGAGATGCTTAACATTGCAATTGTTTAGTCATCTGTTGGGGTATTACAACAAGCGCAACTGGCAAAAATATACCCACAATAAATAATGACAAAACACTACTGCTAATGAAGGCAACATAAAGAAATCTATATATATAATTAGTAGCAAGGTAATTAATAAAAATATTTTGATGGAAATTACAACTTATATTATTATTATTATTTTTATTATATATATATATATATATATAGGGACTGGTTCAAATATAAACTAGTTCTGGTGTGAGAATCGTAAGAACCGTATTTGATGTTATTTTTAATTATTTATGATGCTATTTTTAATATTACATTGTGCTATTATTTTCACAAATGCTAATATAAATTGTGTTGCTATTTTTAGTCAAATACATCATCATTAAAAATAGCATTAAAACACAATCATCATAGCACTACGTACAATTAAAAATAGCGGTTCTCACACTAGCAATTAGTTCTCATTTGAACCTCATCCTATATATATATATATATATAGGGAGAAAAAATAAATGAAATTACTAATCTTGAATCAATGAGGGTCTAAAGGTTAATAATTACCGAATATTATTAGATCAATATTACAAAAACTGCACCATAGCATTGTCGCTGTACACACTTCTTTAACTTATTACGTGCAATTTTTTACTCAATACGCCTCGAAGAAGGCAAAAATTAATCATCTTCCCCTACTCCAGACAACATAGGCCAGTTTAACGCAGGTAGTTAACCCTGGTGGTTGGTTGACAGTTACATCTTACACAATTGATTAATTTCTAAGAGTACTCTTTCTATCTAATTATTAAATCATTATTGTGCAAAGTGAAAGGCGGCGCAACAAAACTGGCTCTCTTGACGAACCTCCCTTTCATCCTCGGCCTTTTCTCGGCATTCAGCTTCCGGACTTCGTACCTTATTTTCTTGGAAAACAATCTTGTGCGCCGTTTTTCTCTGTACCTCGAAACTCTCGCCTCTCGTCCTCCGTCAGCCATGATTGTTGCATGCGTGCTCATCATCCCCATCTGTTCTCCATACACGTGCATTGTATTTGTCCCGCACGTGCCCTGAAAATTGACAACAAAAAATATTGTGCATGAGATAGATAATAATATTCTATGTGCTCGTGTTTAGATAAAGTGGAGAGAGATTAAGTCTGAGATATTTTCTAGTGAACTAAACATATTTACATGGATTGAACATCAAAATAGTTGAATGTATGGAATGTACATGTGTCATTCAACCAAAGAAATTGAAATAATTGCCTATACAAATTAGTACTCCCCCATGTTCGTAATATATGTCGCATTGAGAAGTTGTACATTAATTAAGATTTTTTTTTTTTTTGCAATAATAACCCTCTTTAGTGAAGATAGAGATAGATATTTTGGGAAAAAGTCAAAGAGTGAATATAAAAAAACGTAGTGTATTTATTACTAAACGAAAGTGAGAATGGAAAAATATGTACAAAAGATTCAAAACGTCATTTATTTGGTTAATAGTTTATAAAATCAAAATGACATTTAAAAATAATGAGAGAGAGAGAGAGAGAGTTATATACTTATGGATATATTTATATATAGCTCTACGTTTGAAATGGACTAACAATGAACATAAAGTTTGTACACACCAACATCAAAATATTTAGGTGGAAAAGCAAAAAAAACATACCAAGCAATCAGGCAAGCATCCAGCTGAATCCAAATCGGGACGTTCACCAGTCGTCCACGGCGACTTCTGATCGTCCCAAGCCGAAATCACTCCTTCATAATCCAACCTCAAAAATATCTTCTTAGAACCACAAGATTTACCATTAACATTAGAACCTTGCAATTTATGCTCCTCCACCTTATTATTCTCCTCCTCACCCAAAACCGGCAAATCGTAATCGAAATTAAACAAGAAATTCTCTTTCCCGACACCAACAAATTCCCCCTCATTATTATTACCAACAATATCTCCAATTTGTTCGTCGTCCTCGACTTTTACGACTTTCTCCCTCTCCACGTCATCACAGTCGAGAATATCTCCAATCCCGAGCCCTTTCATGTCCAACGCCTCGTGCTCGAGCCCGTTTCCCAACAAGCACTCTACGTCAGCAGCAAACTCCGCCAGATCCATCTCGCTCGGGAGAAAATGGTAATTATTAAAATTGTTATCGAATACAGGCACACGGTACAGCAGCTGCTCCTCCTCCGTGTCGTTGTCTTCGCTGCAGATCTCGGGCACGAGGTGGTGGGCCTGGGGGTTGGAGGCCGGCCCAGATTGGCTCTTTGGGCCGGTGACGTTTTTCTTGTTGGGCCTGGGGGTTCGGGCCTTGCGGGTGAAGCCCCGGTGCCACGCGGGGTAGTCGTCTGATGATGAGGTGTTGAGTCGGACTCGGTCGTGACGGCGGGCTAAGGGGTTGGCCGAGTGGACTGAGAGGTCGCAGGGCTGGCAGAGGAAGGCATCGTCTGCCGCGCAGTACCAGCGGGCCCGCTTCTTTATGCAGTTGTCGCAGGCGCGCGCTGACTTTGCACCTACCGCGTTTGCTAGCTTTCTTTCGGATAACACCGTGTTTGGTTCCATCTTCTTCTTATTTTTCAATTTGTTATTAGGAAAGGAAAACGGAAAACTGCCAGGAAAAAGTGGTGGCAATTATTAGTATTTAGGAAGTGACCAGCAACATGCATATTTGTAGTAACTATTGATTGATTTTTCGGACGCTTTTTCGCTCTTTTATGGGGATTATTATATTATTATTATTATTTTGGTTTTGGATTTTGGAGAATGGAATGGGTTTGTGCACTTTTGGGGCCTTATCTCTTTTGTGATTGGCTCAAGGAGGAAATTTAATCTGAGTCCCAGGGCTTTGATTGGCTGAATGTCAGTTTACGGGATTGCGGGTGGGGCCCGCTGATAATTTTTTTATCTTAAAAGTCTCCTACCAATTTTGATCTAATCTTATGTGTGTTTGCTACATCGTGTCATTTTCAGGCACTCAAAATCTGAAAAAGACTTGTTTTGGAGGATTCTCCTATTATTTCTTTTTTCCTCTCTACAGTGGTACTACTCTGCTAATTTCATGTTGATTGTTCACAAACGCTGCGTTTTGGTCCCCCTTTTCCAGCCNTTACGAAGATTTTTATTAATCGATTAGTTTATTAACGGATTTTGAATTTCATGATGTCGAATTTGTAATTATCCATATCGCGGACAATAAATACTTCACACAATACCAATTACCATGATAACAAAATTCCACATCTGAAACGTTGGGTTCAAATTTTATCCGTTTACTCGTAAAGAGAGTCTCCAATTCTCAGAGTTTCTCTATCGTACTCATACAGAAATTTCTTGATTTGACTGCTCCTCCTCTGGCATATTTATAAGAGATATATGCTATTGGGAGAGTCTAATTATCGAAAAAGATTATAATGTGTCCTTTGTATTATTATAAAAAAATATCATTGGCAGTGTGTAGGGGTGAGAACGGTCCGGATTTGACCTATCCTGGTACCTGTCTCGATTTTTTGAACCGGTCCGGGATAACACCCCGTTCCAAACGGATCGGTATCAATCTGGACCGGGACAAAACGAGAAAAAGAAATGTTCAAAATTCAAACGGGTAAAGTCCTTATCGACTCCTTTTCTTTATGATAATTGTCGGTGAAAATAAGTTTTATAGTTAAATATCGTATAGCGCTGGATTTTAAGAACATGCAACAGAAATTACAATTTATAGTGTGGATTGATTTTGGGAGATTATTTTAGTTGAAGCTCTGTTGAAATAGAAACAAATACAGTTTGGCCTTTTTTTTTTTATAGTTAAATATCGTATAGCGATGGAGATGGAGAAGAGAACGGGACTATTCGGGAAAAAATATTAAAAATCAATAACGACATTGTTTCAACCGGTTCGGTACCAAAACCGTACAAAAATTTTAAAAACAGATTGAAACCCTATTTTTTCAGAACGGGACCATTTCGGTCCGGTTCGAGATCGGAAAATCCCGTTTTTTTGGCCACCCAAGCAGTGTGTCATTTTTTATGCCATTTCTCTTTTTTGAAAAAAAAAATGAAAAAATAAAACTGACAAGTTGTTGCTCTATATTCTGAAAAACAGATTACCAACTGAGTCATGAGATCGTGACGAGCAATTTGGCCATCTCCTTTTTTCAAAAAAATTAATAAATAATTTTTGTCTGCTTTATTCAATGATTGATTGTACATACATACAACAAAACATTGTAGGTCTCATCCAGCTTGAATAAAGGTGTGATATGTTTATATAGAAAGGTAATGAAACTACTTTGACACTAGGATATTTGAAAAAAAAAAATGTTTCAAACTTATAATAAAACTCTCAGGGAATACTTATTTAATTAAAGGGGTGACAAATACATCTCTTGAACTTCATACTTATTATATTTTTTCATATTTAGTGGATTTTGCTTTTAAACGTCATATATACTTATTATATTGTAATCTTTTTGCCATTTTATCTTGCTCGAGTTTATTGTATTTCTAGTAGATGAAATAGTATTAAGATTTATTTTCTACAAGAATTCTAAATTTATATCAAGATGTTCTAGCAATCAAAGGAATTAAAAGGGAAGATCTATTATCTCTCTTTTATTTAACTAGTAAAGTGCACGTGTAATGTACGTGTCACATAATTTATATTTTAATACAATTTTAACTTATATTTTTTATTTTATAATTTATGGTTAATCAATTTTTTTGCATTATTATTTTAAATTAATTAAACAAAAGAAGTACATTATGTAGTGATGATCTGTGTCAAATATATTGAAAGTTCAAAAATAAATTTTAAGATATTAATATTTAAAAATTCATAGTGAAAAAGATTTCAAATATTCGGTTGACACCGGCTCATCCACGAACTCGGCATCAAAGAAAAGAGAACCTTCATACTCAGTCGATACTTGCCCGTCCATTGATTCACACTCGATTTTTTTTCAACTCGTTTTTTCGATAACTCAGCAACTAGACCCTACTAAACTAATAATATTATATATATATATATATATATATATATAGAGTTAGGATCATATGAGAATGGTAGATAGTGAAAGAAATAAGAATGTATCCGGACCATGAGATCAATCATATTAATAGTTAAGATGAAGTCAAAACATGGCCAATCATTAATGGCAATGTGGTAATTATTTGATCATAGTGGATCAAATATATGCATTTAATCAATAATTAAGGATATGCTGGTCACTACACATATATTTATGTGGGACCCACTCATCATTTAAATATTTATTTTCTCTCTCATTAATCATCACCAGCTTCCTCTTCTCACACACGACACACACACACACACACACACACACACACACGCACATAGACCCAACACGGTGGCCGCTGCTGAGAGACCCGCCGGAGCCAGGCGTCTTAAGCCCCTCCACACAGCAAACCGTCGTCTCACTACCACCCTCCGACGCTGCCGTTTGCCGCGGCCACCGTGCCGTCGAACACCGCGACGGTCCCGACGTTCAGGCCGCCTATGTTGGCCAGACAGCTGTAGTTCGGCATGGCCATTATTCCGTTGAGCGCCACCACGAGTCCAACATCCACGATAGCAGCTCATCGCCGGCGACAGGGATCTATTTCCAGTCCGTGACGTCATGGCGGCGGCGACTCTGGGCGAACAGAACGGTCGTGCGATGGAGTGGTCGACGACGGGAGAGGTCCGACATTCACGACCGCAGCTTCTTTCCGGTCACCGATACTTGCTTCCAGGTCGTGGTGTCACGTCGGCGGCGAATCTGGACGGATAAGACGGTCGGGCGATGGGCTGGCGACGTCGGGCGTCTGGTTGCCGGCTGCAGCAACTGTGTGTGTGTGTGTGTGTGTATTATACTTGTGTGCTTGCGTGTGCGATTTTCAGAATTTTTCTGTTTTCTTTTTTCTTTTCTTTTTTTTTNCATTGTGATGAGAATTAGACTATTTATAGGGCTTTTTGTGCAATTTTAAAACTTTTATTAGATTGTATTTTAATAGTGGCACAATTTAGTAATTTATCAAAAGTTCAATACATTGCACATTAACAATACACGATATGCACACTATTGTGAATATATGAGCCCATTATAAAAATTGTTAAACTTTTACAAAATTACATAGTTATAATTGGCCGGAAATTCGTTCGGTTTGGTTTAATCGTCCGATAGATCGTCGAAACCGGAACATTAGAAAAAGTATTATTTGTAATATAAAAAATATTTAGTGCGGTAAATTTTTTTGATTTAATAATTTATATTACTTTTTTAATTAAGAAATGAAAAATTCTATATAAACAAATTATAATGTGCAATCTAGAAGATATTAATGTGCAAATTTTTCAACCCAAAAGTGCACGGTGTCGGTCGATATTGTGCATATTGATACGAATGAACTTTTGTCCCAAATTAAATTGAAACGAAAATTAAATATTTTGGTTATTCGGTCGGCCAATTAAATTATCTTAAATAATTGAAATAATTTACTATTTACATTAAAAATATATTTAGTATGTTACTATTTCTACTTATTATTTTTATATTATTTTTGATTGAAAAATATAATGTAAGAAATATTGATCTCGATAAAGTGCAAGAAACAAACTCGATAAAGTGCAAGCAAACATACATAGATGTGCATCTAGTATAACATTATTGTGCAATACATCTAGCGTGTGTTTTTTTTATGTGCATTTCAATTTTGAAACAAAATAAATGATGTGTATTTTAATTAATATTACTATGCATTTATCAAATATTTATATAATAAAAATATATATAGTACGAAATATTGATCTCGATAAAGTGCAAGAACCAAACTCAATAAAGTGCAAATACACATACATAGACGTGCATCTAGTATAACATTATTGTGCAATATATTTAGCGTGTATTTTTTATGTGCATTTCAATTTTAGAAAAAATGAAATGATGTTATTTTATTAACATTATTATGCATTTATCAAATATTTATATAATAAAAATATATGATATTTGTAATTTTATTTAATATTATGTATTATCGATAGTCGAAAATAATTTATATACATATAACTTTGTCGGTTATGTTATTATTATTATTTATAACTTTGTAATATGCGTACTTAAACTATTGTGCATTTGATCGGACAATATTGTGCATTTTATACTTTTATTATTATTTACATTAATTTAATATTCTATCATTTTATTTACTATTTTTTATTCATTATTTTAACATATATGTATCGCTGCTCACGGCCAAATGCATAAGCTGAGAAGGAACGTCTCTACCGTCGGAACTCTCTCTCCGCAGCTTATCTCTAAAGTTATATACCTGTCACCGATTAGCGTTAATTATAATGATTATTATAATTTAAAACAAAAATTTTATTATATTAATAAATAAAAAAATATATTAATGCGATTAATTTGATAAAAAAATTATTAACTATCACAATAATAATACATTAGTAAATATAATAAAATTTATTAATTATTACAATAACTTTTACATATAAAAAATTACTAATTATCATAATTAACTTAAAAAATTTAATTAAAACATATATTACAAGATATAAATATATATACCTGCCGCACATGAACGTTGTCTTCCGGATTCTTTACCTTCAGCGCGGCCATAATTTTTTTCGGGGCCACCTGAGCGTCCGTCATGTCACGAACAATTCTCTTAGATGAAGCGCTGAGACCGCTCAACTGGCTATGACCCTCAGGATACACAGCAAATGCATGGTTATGGTAGCCTTTCTCTTCATTGCTACATCTACAGATCCTC